TAAATAAATAAATAAATAAATAATAAATTTAGGCACTGAGCCAGCAAGTGGCATGGTAGTTAAGGTGCTGGACTTCCGTATGACCAACTGCAATTTGAGTCTCTGATCTGGTGGCTTGAAAATCACTCCAGGTATGTGTGTGTGCATGTCCAAAATCTCAGGAGGCGAATGGAAGCGAAGGGACTGAGGCATACCCATCTCCCTGGGGGTGATTTCTCACTTTCCCTCTCACTGTTTCTCCAGTGAGTGTATGCATCCTATGGCAAAAACTTTAAAAATAATAATAAATTTAGGCCTTCCTACTGGCAAATATTGAGACTTTGGGCATAATACTGAGGGAAAGTGAAGTTTATGTAGACATGCAGGCCAATAAAACAATTTTAACCTGCAGCCCATGACAATCTCTTGTCTCCATAAAATTTTCTAATAAATATGGGTAGCACATTTTGTTCATTTATTAGCTGATCGACACTTTTGGACTATTATTAATTCTGCTACCATGAAGGTCCATGTATAAGTTCTTATATGGACGTATGTTTCCATTCCCTAGGGTAAGTTCGTAAGAGCTGAATTGGGTCTTACAACATTCTGTATAACTCTTTGAGGAACTACCGAACCGTTTTCCAGTGATGTATGAGCAATTTCTCCACATCCTCACCAACACTTCCCCTTTTGTTCGATTGTAGTCACCCTAGTCACTGAGAAGAGGTTTCCCACAGTAGTTTTGCTTTCCCTGATGACTAATCATGCGTAGTAAGCATCTTTTCATGCGCTTGTTTCTTTGAAGTAGAGTTTTTTTGAAGAAATGCCTGTTCATGTCTTTTGGCATTTTAAAGTTAGGTTGTTTGATTTTTGCTTTGTTTCATTTTGTTTTGCTTCTGCATTATGAGATTCGTTTATATATTCTGGATACTAGACCACTATCTGACATATGATTTGCAAAGAGTTTTTCTCATTTGGTGTCCTATCCTTTTGGTTTCCTGATAATTTCTTTTGATGAAAAATGTCTTTACCTTTTTAAAGTTTATTTATTTATTTCTTGTATAAGTGAAAAAAAGAGAATGAAAGAGATAGAGCATCTCCCACAAGGATAAGTCCTCAAAAAGGCAAAGATAAAACTGAAAAGAGATGTTTAAATGTGAAGACACGATAAAAACAGTGATTTGGTGGCTTATAGGTTTTACAACATTCTTGGTTTTGACTTTCTAGTTTTTGTTTGTTTGTTTGTTTGTTTTGGAGAGGTTTTTTTTTTTTTTTTTGCTATAGGGCGCGTGCGCTCGCCAGACAGACAGAGAGAGACAGAAAGACAGAAAGCGAGAAATCACCCCCCAGGGGGGATGGTCACGCCGCAATCCCTTCTCCTCCATTCTCCTCTCGGGATCTTGGGCATGCACGCACACGAGCCCAGCGTGAGTTTAAGCCACCGGGTCCGGAACTCGAACCGCAGTCGACTACATGGAAGTCCAATGACATAGCCATTACGCTAACTGCTGGTCCCGGTTTTGACTTTCTTTAAATTCATTCCAAAGAAAACTTCAGCTACTTGTAACGTTTTGGGCTTTTCCTGTGATCTAGTTTCATATAATGAGTACTGGCTATAATAGATACATAAATTGAAACCTGTGGAGACAACTGTCCGTCACATAACTGGTGAATTTGTACTCAAACTCGCTTATGTGTAGAATAGTTGAATCTGCATTTTTGCCTTTTAGTAGAGTTTTTTTTTTTAGAGATTTTTGCTATAGGGCACATGTGCTCTCCAGAAAAACAGAGAGACAGAAAGCGAGAAATCACCCCTGGAGGGGATGGCCACGTCGCAATCCCTTCTCCTCCATTCTCCTCTCAGGATCTTGGGCATGCACGCACACACACCTGGTATGAGTTTAAGCCACAGGGTCAGGGACTCGAACCGTGCTCAACTACATGGAAATCCAGCAACATACTCATTATGCCAACTGCTGGTTCCTTAGTAGGAATATCTAATCCTGATATTCAATGTTATTAATGGTATGTGTAAACTTTCCTTTTTTTCTTGATGTTTTGTGTTCTCTTACTTATTTTTTTATTTCCCCTTAATTTTCTTGGTGTAATATTTCCTTAAATATTTGCTGAAGAGCTGATTGAGTTTTGGCAAGTTCTTTCAGCATTTGTTTATCTGGGAACGATTTTATTTGTTTTTCCCATTTGAAAGACAATCTTGCCAGGTAAAGTACTCTTGGCAAAACTTGTTTTTCTTTCAGCATTTTAAATATATTTTCCCATTTCTCCTCACCTGTATTGTTTCAATCGAGAAGTCTGATGTTAGTCTACTGTAACAATCTTTGTAAGTAACTTGGCATTTCTTTCTTGCCATTTTTAGAATACCGTCTTTAACTTTGATCTTTACCAAATTGGCTATGATATCCCTTGGAGAGGATCTTCTTATATTTGGTGTCTTTTGTATTTCCTGGGTTTGGATGTCTGTATGCCTTTCTAAAATTGCAGTTTTCAGCTAATATATCACGGAAGAGATTTTCCATGTCTTTACCGGTCTCTTAGCCTCTGGAATACACATTATGTGGCTCTTTGACTGTTTAAGGGTGTCTCGGATTTTTCATACATCGTCCTGGTTTTTAAGTGTTACTCTTCTGTTTTTAGTTGCTTGGATTAAATCAGAGGTTTTGTCTTCAAGGTCAGAAATTCTTTCTTCTGCATGGTCTAATCTGCTGTTGATACTTTCAAGGGGAGGTTTTGATTTCCTGAATTTTTTTTTTTTTTTTTTTTAGATTTTTGCTATAGGGTGTGTGTGCGCTCACAGGAAAGACAGAGACAGAGGGACAGAAAGCAAGAAGTAACTCCCCAGGGTGAATGGCCACACTGCAATCCCTTCTCCTCCATTCTCCTCTAGGGAGTTTGGGCATGCACACACATGTGCCTGGCATGAATTTTAAACTACTCTGTCTGGGATTCAAACCACAGCTGACTATGTGGGAGACCAGCAACATAATCATTATACCATCTGTTGGTTTCAATTTCCTGCATTTAATTCTTCATTACCAGAAGTTCTGTTTGATTCTTTCTCAAGATTCCTCTTTCTGGAGTTCCTATCTCAAGTCATGGAAGGATTTTCTCATTTTTGGAATTGGTTGGTTCTTGCATCACATTGAGTTTTGTTACAATGGATATTCTGAATTCTTTTTCTGACATTTCTACAGTCTCTTATGTTTTATCCATTGTTGATGAGGAGTTATTATGTTCCCTTGTGGAGGAGGTATTTCCTGGTTTTCTCTTATTTCTTGAGGGTCTCCTTTGATTTGTAGTCTTCTGGTAATATACTCAATTCTTCCTATCCTATGGAGTATGTTTCTGTATGAGTGCTCGTAAGCTTCCCTATGGTGTGCATTCGCTCTGTGCCAGTTTCCCTCCTCTACTGTGGGAGGAGTGTGTAATTTATGGGTAGGAGTTTGCGGGTCATGATTTCAGAAGAGAGTTTCTCTCCTTTTACTGCTGCGGGGGTGTAGAGTGCAAATTCCTCCAGAGTCTTCTGTCTTACTGTGTTTGATTCTTGTGTACTCAAACCTTTCAGCTCCCAACGTAGATGGAGATGGAGCTACAGAGGTAGAAGATAAGATGAGAGACTTTACACAATGCATGGGCTGGAGTAGCCCTTGCTCCCCCACAGCAGTCTGGGTGGGTGTCCCTGATGAGCCCAAGCCAAAAGGCTTGGTCCTCCCTATTCTCCCTGTATCTTTTCTCTGTTTCAAGACTTTCAATACTATTCCATTGCTCTATATATCTTAAAACCAGTGTCACCCTGTTTTGATTACCATAACTTTGTAGTAAGTTTTGACATTTGAAATCGTGAGTCTTCCAATTTATTGCTCTTTTTATTTTATTTATTTAATTTTTAATTTGCCACAGGGAGCATATACTTGCCAGAGATAAAGACAGAGAGAAAGAAAGGGAGATAGAGGAAGCACCCCCTTCAAGGGGGCATTGTCATGCCATAATCTCCCCTTTATCTCTCCACTCCTTCAGGATTTGGGGTACACGCATTCACATGCTCAGCATATTTCTCAAGCCATCAGGGCCAGAATTAGAACCATGAAGTTAGCCTCTCCCCTGTACCTCTCCACTCTTTTAGGATCTGGGGTACACACATTCATATGCTCAGCATATTTTTCAAGCCACCAGGGCCAGAATTTGAACCATGAAGTTGATCATGAGAGATCCGGTTGCCTTAACTTCCAGGCCTCAGTGTTGGGCCTGTTCTTAAAGTTTTTACTACTCAGGATCTCTAGAAATTCGGTGCAGATTTTAGAACCAGCTTGTCCATTTCTGCAAAAAAAAGTCCATTTGAATTTTGGTAAGGATTTCTTTGAATCTGTAGATCACTTTGGCTACTATTGCCATCATAACAATATTCATTTTTTATAATGAGTTTTAAAATTTTGTATCTAAGCAGGGTAGATACTGAATCAAGGCACTAGGAGGAGGAAGAATGGGGAGTAATTTATTTATTTACTTAATGAGTGGTTAATGCAAACAATTGCATTTTTACCTACAAAGCTACCTTATCTTTGAAAAGGCCCCATTACAATGATGCCCATCATAATGACAGACATTACACATTGTCAAACCATAAAATACATGGGAAAGCTACAATATTTCAAGTGGTTTAGATTTTATAAATGTAAACAGACAGATAATTTGAAAGAACATAACATCAAGAAGTAGACCATAAGGGCCAGTACATGGCATAGTGGTTAAGGCACTGGCCTCCCAGATGGCTAATCACTGTTCAAATCCCAGACTCAGCAGCTTGAAACTCACACTAGAATTGTGTTGAAACTCACATTGTCCATGCCCCAAATCCTGAGATAATGGAAGAAAAGGGATTGTGATGTAGCTATCCCCAAAGGGAGGGGGGTGATTTCTCATTTTCTCTCTCTCTGCCTCTCTCTGTGTCTGAGGAAAGTGCACATGCCCTATAGGAAAAAAATCTCTCTCTAAAAAAAAACATAAGTTGACTATAAAACGTATGAAGGTTTCATATATGATACAACACAAACCAGATTAGAGGAAAATTCTATGATAAATAATTTTAACATAAATTTACTTGGCCATTTATATCATATATCGTATCTTATTATCATACAATAAAATAAACATACAAATTCTCCAAGAATTAAGCATTAAAAAGTTTTTTAAATATTTAACAGAAACGAAAATGAAAAATTATCTGCCAATGATAACATACATGGTAACATCTATGACTTGACCAATATGCATTGTGTTCATGTTGGGAAAAAACATTTTGTATGCTGCAAAGATGTATAGTGATTGGGCTGACAGATGGCATGGTGCTGATGCACTGGACTTCCATGTGGTTGATTGTGGTTTGAGTCCTGGACCTGGCAGCTTACTTTCTCATTTTCTCCCTCTCTTTCTCTGGTAAAAATATTTTATGAAGAAAGTTAAAAGAGGGACCAGAAGTTAGCATAATGGCTATGTCGCTGAATTCCCATGTAGTTGACCGCAGTTCGAGTCCTGAACCAAGTGGCTTCAACTCACGCCGGGAGTGGGTGTGTGCATGCCCAAGATCCCGAGAGGAGAATGGAGGAGAAGGGATTGTGGCGTGGCCATCTCCCATGGGGGTTGATTTCTCGCTTTCTATCTCTCTGTCTCTCTCTGTCTTTCTGGCGAGCGCACACACCCTATAGCAAAAACCTCCCCTCCCCCAAAAAAAGTTAAAAGAAGTCAAAGTTGAAGGAAATGTTTTTCAAAATTCTGCATGATTTAAATTTCTAAACTATTGTAGTCCACAATTAGTCAGACGTGACTTTTATCCATTTCATATATCAAAATAAATAACATGACAAAAAACAAAGGTTATTTACATACTTTCCTTCTTTCTTTCTTTTTTCTTTTTGGAGAGGCTTTTTTGGCTTAGGCCACATGTGGTTGGTGAAGAGAGAGGGACAGAGACAGTCCAAAAGATTCAAACTAGTATAGGCCAGAGCTTTGAGAGGGAAAGTGAGAAATCACTCCCCCATGGGACGGCCACGCTGCAACCCCTTCTCCTTCACTCTCCTCTTGGGATCTTGGGCATGTACACACAGGTGCCCGGTGTGATTTTAAAGTCACCAGATTCCAAACTCAAACTGTTATTGGCCAGGTGAGAGTCCAGCAATGTAACCATTACACCATCTGCCGGCCCCCACATTTTCTTTTAATAATAATTCACTTTCTATATTTATGTGCCTCAACTTGACTTAAATTCCTGAGGACAGAACCCATTTTTTTATTTTCTCTTTACAGTTCTCCACAAACTCAAAAAAAAAAAAAAGAATCAAATTTTGGGTAAAAAGTAAATTTATATCAACTTTCATTTGTCGATGTAATCTACTGTATACTGTTCAATAGGATTTTTAAAGCAAGAGAGTCCAAAAGAGTACAACTAGTACAGGTCAAAGCTTTGAGACATACCTCCCTGGTCTGCAGATTTTGAAATGCAGTGGCTTATGTCATTATTTATATTTCTTCTTGTGCCATTATTCACTTTTAGGTTTCCAATATCATCATGCTGGGTAACATTTGAATTATTTCTTTTTTGGCATTTTAGCAACACTCCCTGAGAAACTTGATAACAAAATTATTTAGTAGTAGTAGTAGTAGTTTTTTTTCTTCTGCTAGAGAGAGATTTTTGCAACAAGGCATGTGTGCTCAACAGAGAGACAGAAACAGAGGGACAGAAAGCCAGAAATCATCCCATGGGGGATGGCCACACCGCTATCCTTTCTTCTCTATTCTCCTTTTGGGGTTTTGGGCATGTGCACACATGTGCCCAGTGTTGAGTTTTGAGCCACCAGGTCCAGGACTCAAACTGCTGTAGACTATGTGGAAGTCCAGCAACGTAACTATTACACCGTGTGCTTGTTCCAAACACAGAATTATTTTAAGGTTAAGTAAATATCCTTTATGCAATGACTCAGAAACAAATTCTTTGGGATGATTCTGATCACCAGAACAAGAAATAATTGAAGAGATAATTGGAATCTTTTTTTAAAATTTTCATGTCTATTTGACAATAATTTTGAGTTAATTCATTTATTTTTAGAGCACATATTTGATAAAGGGATATTCTATGCCAGGCATTGTCTTAAGAACTGGTGATATAACAGCAAATAAAGTTTTTGTTGTAGGAAGTATAATCTCTTTCCACTTTCTTAATTATTTTGCTGAAACCTCTGGTACTGCATTTAGCACCATAGTGATTTAACAGTTGTTTCTCCCACTAGTATATGAGATTCTTCACCATGACTATTGTTTTTTTAAATTTGGGAAATTTGTAATAAGACTTGAATATTTTAGTTGTTGAGTAAATATATAAATATTTCTGACAAATATAAGACCAAACTAAATGTAACCTTAGATATAATGTGTAATAGTATTTTAAAGAAAAATAAAAGCTGGAATCAGGAGATTGCACCACGGGTTATGTTGCTGGACCCCATGTAGTCAACTGCATTACAAGTTCCAGACCTGGCAGACTAAATCTCATGCCAGGCATATGTGTGTGTGTGTGCCCAAATTCCTGAGAGGAGAATGGAGGAGAGGAGATTGTGGTGTAGCCAAACCCCTAGTGGGTGATTTCTACCTTTCTGTCTCTTTGTCTCTCTGGTGAGCGCATGTGCCCTATTGCAAAATAAATTCTCTATAAAAAAAAAAAAGGAGAAAGAAAGAAAGAAAGAAAGCCAATCTACTCAAAAATACCTAAAAATAATACAGAAATAGATGCATGAGCACATACATGCACTCACACACACACACACACACACACAGACTCTTCTTTGTCTATGTGACTTTGTACCACTTGAGGATAAAAATACTTATTTTATTTGATTCCATATTGGCCATAGCAGTGTGGAGAGTGATACAGATCTTTAAATGTAATAGCTTCTTATTAAATCTTGATTAGTGTAGTGAAGAATAAATGAAAAACTATAAAAAGTTTCACAAGAGAAAAACATATTTCATAGTTTTATTTAGTTAGATCTAACTTACCCAACAGGATCAAGGAGATCAAAGTCAAAGCAAGAATCCCATTTACTGTTCCAGATATTCCCAGTGAGATTCTATACCAGCGCAATGTCTCTGAATGATGTGAGAGATTAATCACACAAATTAGCTTAGAAAAGTATGCTTCTGAAACCGAATAGTAATTGCACTCATAGGATTTTTACAGGATATCAGCTTTGACTTTCAAAAGATACTAGATGTTCAAAAGCATGAAGGCTAAGTAAACAGAAAAGTTTTTTAATTTAATGATAGTACTTTGAATGACTAGAAGCTATGATACATGTTATATCTAATTTTAAGAAATTGCTAATATTTGACACTATTAACTAGTAGGAAAAATTTTTGATCTATATACCTAATAATTATCCAGACACACACACCATGTACAGAAATATATTTATATATATATGTGTGTGTGTGTGTATATATACACATACATTCTCATAATTATCTTTTAACTAATAATTAACTTTAATATAATATTCAAAAGTCATTTGAACTTGTTTTACACACAAGGGATGTAATACAAATATGAACTAAACATTGTTTTAAATAACTTGCTATTTTTAACCTGAAAAAATTTTTTTAAATCCTTTGTAATTCAAACAATGATGTTTCAGCTTCTTACTAGATGGTAAATCCTTTAAGAATAAGAACTGTTTTAATATTGATACATAAATGGGGGAAGTGAAGAGAAGATGATAGAGAAAGATAGCAAGTGAACAATAGAGAGGCAGGACATTAGTGAGAAACAGATAGGGCTTATTAACTGTTGATGTTGACATGTATAGTATTCTCAACTGGATTGGTCTGAGAAGTATTTCATGGTGGGCAAAGTATTTTTACAAGCAAAATGAGAAATAGCAATTGACTGTTTTAAAAATAATTAGAATAATAATAATAATTATTGGGGAAAACATAGAAAAGATATTGAATGTTGAAGCGGGGAGATTAATGTCTCTGTACTGACTGACATGTATGGCATTCCCTTTTGAAAAAGCAATGTAATACACTGTAAAGTTATATGTAATCCAATGTAATATAAAGAAGATTATGATGATAATAATAAAAAAACTCAAAAAAATTGATACATATACACTTCCAAGATCAAGATAAGAATGTTCATTCAGTGATTATTAACAAAGAAACCGTTATCACTAGTAGACAGTCTCTTCTAGTGCCTCAAGTTTATAAAATGTTATTTTTTAACCACTTTCAAGAGAATTTAGATCTGTTGAGGATAGACTTATAGAATTATGTGAATAATTAGCTTATACTCAATAAATGAACATGTGTACTTTGTGGAAGAGTGTATGTCCTTATGAAAGGTAATTTTTGCAAATACATCATAATGATTGATAAAAATCACTCCTCTTAGCTGTGATTATTCATAGTGTTCCGTCAGTAAACTGAGTCATTAATATTGAAATTTATATTCCAAATACACTTTAAATCCTAGCAAATAAGGAAACTACATTTGAAGTTGCCAATCTCTAGTAAAAAAGAACACGATAAACCATGTAGACAAGTATCTTATAGAAGTAGTTCACAAAGAGAAGTACCTTTTTTTTGAGAGTTTTTTTTTTGCTATAGGGCATGTGTGCTCGCCAGACAGACAGACAGAGAGACAGAAAGCGAGAAATCACCCCCCCCAGGGGGATGGCCACACCGCAATCCCTTCTCCTCCATTCTCCTCTTGGGATCTTGGGCACACATGCACATGCGCCCAGAATGAGTTTAAGCCACCAGGTCTGGGACTCAAACCACGGTCAACTACGTGAGAGTCCAGAGACATAGCCATTACGCTAACTGCTGGTCCAAGAGAAGTAACTTTTATCTTTTCAGAACACTGACAAAAATAGTAAAATAATATTGATCAGATTTGTTTAATAAATACCCTGAGTTTCCAGATAATTTGAATTTTTTGATGTATTAACAATGATGACCAATAAATTCCCAGAAATCAAGCACATATATTAAAAATTTTATGTATTTAATTTTAAAGTTTGACAAATAATTATCAAAAACAGTAACAGAAAGGATATGGAAGATAGTTCAAAAAGGTTTTGAATGAGACCTCAACAAAAGCATTGATCACAAAAGCAAAAATAGACAAATAGGATTATATCAAACGAAAAAGCTCCCATATAGCAAAGGAAACAATCAATGAGTGAATAGGGTGCCTACAGAATGTGATTAAATATTTGACAAAATGTTTAAGGGACTCAACTCAGCAGCAAAAAGCAAATCATTTGATTTTTAAATGAGTAAATGATCTCAAATGAAGACAAGCAAATGACCAAGAAGCATGAAAAGGTGCTGAGCACCATTAATCTTTGGAGAAACGGAAATCTAAATCAAATGAAATATCATCTTACCCAAGTTAGAAAGATTATTATGAAAAATATAAAAAATTACAAATGATGGTGAAATGTAGATGCGAATGTAGATTAGTATAGCCATTGTGGAAAACACTATGAAGTTTTCTCAAAACGCTAAAAATAGAACTGCTTTATGAACCAGTAATTTTACTACTGGGTGTGTATCCAAAGGAAAAGAAATAAATATGTTAAAGACATATTCGCACTCCAGTGTTTATTACCGAGTTATTTACAATAGGCAAGATATGGAATATACCTAAGGACTCATCATTAATAGACAAACAGATATAGAAAATGCGCGTGTATGTGTGTGTGTGTGTATCATGGAATACTGTTCAGCCATTCCAGAGCATGAACTCCTCTCACTTGAGACAACATAGACAAGTCTGGAGGACATTATGTAATGTGAGATAAACCAGGCACAAAAAAAGAAAAATTATGTGTTCTTATTCCTATGTTGAAAACCAAAAAAGTTGACCTCATAATGAGAGTAGAATAGTGATTACTATAGTTGGGGAAGGATGAGTAGAGAGGAAGAGTAAGGAGATGTTACTTAACAGATACAAAATTAGTTAAATAAGAGCAATAAGTTCTAACAGTCTATAGCACAGTAGGGTAACGTAGTTAATAACAATTTATTATATTCAAAATAGCAGAAGAAGAAGACTTTGAATGTTCTCAACACAAAATAATGATGACTGTTGAAGATAATGCATATTCTGATTATTTCCATTTGATTGTCATGTATTACATTTATAGGAAAAATCACAGTGTACTCATATATATGTGCAATTACTATGTTTCAATTAAAAATATAAATAGCTAAATGTTTTAAATACATGGTCACAATAACAGAAAAAAAATCATACTTTCTTTTTTTTTTTTTTTTTGAGGGCGCGTGCACTCGCCAGACAGACAGAGAGAGACAGAGAGACAGAAAGCGAGAAATCACCCCCCAGGGGGGATGGCCATGCCACAATCCCTTCTCCTCCATTCTCCTCTTGGGCTCTTGGGCACACATGCACATGCGCCCGTCGTGAGTTTTAAGCCACCAGGTCCAGGACGCGAACTGCAGTCGACTACGTGGGAGTCCAGCGTCATAGCCATTACGCTAATTGCTGGTCCCATAAATATTTTCACTACCCTGTGTTTTCTCCTGTAAAGAGATGGCATAATTTCACTTACAAAAGTTGAAACACAAGTTTTGTTGTTGTTGCTTTTTTTTTTTCTCACACACAAAATTAAAAATATGGGCCAGTTAATGGCATGGTAATAATGCAACTGGACCCATGTGGGAAAAGTGCATTCTTAATGATACTGCTTCAAAAAATATTCATTAATAAGATCAAAATAAATATTTAGAAAATAATAGCACTGGAGAGGTAGGCCCTATAATTGAGATAATTTGTGTCTTTTATTTCTGCAATATTTGCCTGTTTTTGTCACAGTACGTTAAAAGGGCAGAATGGATTGGCATTGGCTATGAAGGGCGTGCATGCTTGGGTAGTAAAGTAAAATGTTGGTCGTTGTTGTACAATTTAACTTTAGGTCAACAAATTTAGTATTTTAAAGTTTTTGACAGGTTGAATAAAAATTAGTATTAAAATGTATTTTAGGGTTGGCAGGTGGCATGGTGATAAAGGTGTTGGATCCCACAACTTTGCAGTTTGCTTCCAGACTCAGTGGCTTGAAAAGCACACCAAATGCATGAGTCCAAAATCCTGGGAGGAGAATGGTAGAGCAGAGATTGCATGGCCATATCCCCAGGGGCGTGTTGCCAATTTCCTTCTCTCTCTCTCTCTCTCTCTCTCCAGTGAGTACATGCTCCCTATACCAAACTAAAAAATAAATAAATGAAGTCATATTTTATGAATAGTAATGAATTAATATTCATCAGTTTTAAACTCTTAATTCTAATGGAAAGTGTATACTGACTGAGAATACCTGTAAGAAATTATACCAGACAAAGTATTACTTTAGAAGCAAATGAACATTGATGTCACATTGATAAATGAAAGACAAAGTGACTACCTCATAAGAATTCTGTAATATCAAATGAAAGAAAATAGATGAAGCACTCTGGACAGTGCCTGCAATTGGTTTATCAAACATGATTAGAGCGATGGTTATTTTAAAATCATCATCATTATTATTATTAGAAAACAAGGAAAGAGAGACACAGAGAGACAGAAAGGGACAGAGATGGGTGCATCACAGAAGTAAATAAAAACAAAATGAAACAGCTCAGGAACAGAATAAAGCAGAATACTGGAAATACAACTGAATTTCATACCTTTAAATTTAAGTTGATGTGTTTGGGTGGAACTCCTCTTCCACTGTTTATTCAATGTCATATACCTTTCTTCATCTTGCATCTTCAGTGTGAGTGGAGGTGTGTGTGTCTATGTGTATTTTTAAAAGAAACACCTATAATAAGAAAAGAATAATAAACCAGCTACTAGTTGGACAGTCTTCTCAAACTGTCCTTTCAGGGTACCTCCAAAGATTCACAGTTTCACAAATTAGTGAAAACCTCAGAGGAAATGTTTTTTCAGTTTTGGTTTTTTTAACTTTATTTTCCATTACCTAGCTAACACATAATTTCTCAACACCCCACCACATACTGAATTCAAAAGTTTATTTGGTGTTATAAACATTTTCTCCTGGTATACTCCTAAAGACAGACAGTGGAACTAGATCCCTTCAGAATTGAGGTAAATATTATAATATGTAGTGGCATTGTGTTTTAGCCTATATATTCATGTGACTTTTGAATTACACTCTCTAGTTTATTATCATTTAATTTAATATAATAACTTGTAGTTGTCTAGCAACTAAGTCCCTTCTCCTAAAATAACATTGATTATAAATCATGCTAATGATTAATAATATAATTTGAAAAATAAAGAGAAATGTTAGCTTTTTTTGTCATTCTAAAAGTTGTCTAAAATACAAATAATAATAAAAATAAAATCAGGGAAGGATTTAGGGGGAAAATAATTCCAATTACTTTTTTTGACATTTGAAAGCAGTGCCCAATATACCTGAGGCAAGGCAGAAATTTTAGATATATTTTTCCTCAGCTTTAATGAAGTCTAATTTATATACCATTATATTTACCTATTGTAAGTACATGTGTTATTGAATGGTTTTACCGAAGTTACAGAGCTTTCTAACCATCACCAAGGCCCAGTGTTAGAACTTTTTTTATCACTCCAAAAGTGTCACTTAAGCCCAAACTAAAAAGAATAATACAATTCTGGAAATACTAATTTTATAAATTGAGATCGTTTACAACTGATCCCCAAATCTCTAGCCACTACGGCAAACCTAGAATAGAGACCCAGTGCTTTTAGTCATTGACTCAGACTTCACTGATGTGGCAGAAGACTGAGGAAAGAGATCTAAACAGAGTGAGTGGCCCCTGAAAGAGCACAGCCAGTCCTGGCTTCAGAGAGAGGGGCCCAGAGCCATGAACTCTGCCTCCTCCTCCCGAGCACCAATTGCCCAAAGGCAAGGAGAATCCAGAGGTCAAAGTCTCCACAGGTTGTCTCCCAAGCAAAGACTAAGGCGTAGAAAGTAGGTGTTGGAGTTTGAGGGGCAAACTAATGATATTTTCATATTTATCTTTAATTTGATAGTAAATCACAGTTATGCTCAGTATTATCACAGAGTAGCATTATTTTGGTTACTGCTTCCCTGCTATATATCTTTCCACTCTGTGTTTTTGACTTTGGGGGTTATTTATTAATAATCAGGTGGACAAAGCCATGCATTCTGTGGACATCAGTCAATGTCCTTCTCCAGCCACCTTGGAGCTTGTTAAATGGGCATCTGTGGGGACCAGCAGTTAGCATAATGGCTATGTCACTGGACTCCCACATAGTCAACTGCGGTTTGAGTCCCAGACCCGGTGGCTTAAATTCATGTCAGGTGTGTGTGTGTGTGTGTGTGTGTGTGCCCAAGATCCTGAGAGGAGAATGAAGAAGGGATTGCAGGGTGGTCATCCTCCCTGGAGGGGGCGATTTCTTGCTTTCTATCTCTCTGTCTCTGTCTTTCTGGCAAGCGTAAGTGCCCTCTAGCATAAACCTCTCCAAAAAGAAAAAAGAAAAAACATGGGCATCTGTGAAATGGTTCCGGATATGAGGGATGGAGGGTGCCCATAACCTGGTCTTCCACCACCATCAAGGTTGATTTTTCTGTGATCTCTGCTAATTGACCAACTTGTCAAGAGCGGTCTCAAGCAAAGGATGTTCTCCCACAGAGGCTAGCCCGCCACCTGATGGGGCACACCTACTATTTAAGCCCCTTCCAGCAAGGACTGGATGATGCTTTGTCTTCATAGGAATAATCGTATATTTTAGGAAAAGATTTTATTTCTCTGCATACAGTATTTCTGCCAGCATCAGTATTCATAGAGTTATAGAATGTCTTATCCATGTCATGGTTTCCCACATAATATTGTATTTGACGTTTTAATAAAGAAATGCATACATAGATACATAAAAGATTGACAACAGCTCATGCTTATAGTAGCTATTTTGTTGGGGGCCGGTAGGTGGCATGGTGATTGAAGTGCTGGATTCCTGCATGACTGACCACAGTTCAAGTCCTGGACCTGGCAATTTGGTTTCTCACTTTCTTTTTCTCCCTCCCTCTCATCAAATTAAAAAATAATAATAATAAATAAAATTAAATAAATTTTTTTTAAAAAAAGGTTATTTTGTTTTCTCATAAGTAACTGACTGGATAGGATATTAAAAATGTTTTCAGAATACATCCAATTTATGATACCATCTGGCATAAAACACCTTGCAAGTATGGAGTTGAGTTCTACAAGATGTGGTATTTGCCTCACCAATGGACATTGTTGTCTTTGCCATAACTAGGACGCACAAATTTGTGAATGAAAGCATGGAATTGGGATTCAATTTTGGAATGTTATCACCACACTATTATACCTAATAATTCACACGAAGAAAATTGCTTCATTTTTTTCAAGTTCTTGCTTTTGTTGGATTTGGGGGTTCTAATCCCTTAAGAAAGGATGTTCTAAAAAGGAATGTGATTGTTATCCTGACGAACTGGAAGTTAAGAACTTCCTTTTGCACTTTCGATTTCTCAAACATTGAAGCAGTGGGTAGAGAACAGGTACCCACACAGGCTGCACCTAGGTTACAGTTAGACAATGCGGCAGGGAGACTGTGCCTTGAACTCTGAAGGTTTACAGCAGCATCTTTTACTACCACTTTCCCCAAAAGTCCTGGTAAATAGAATGCTAAGCCAACCCAACACTAGCAAGAACTCAGGTCCTGTGATAAATAATCTGGATTGCCACATGAGCCATGCATCTTGTACAATTAACTTGACATAGAATAAGAGAAAAGAAACATGGAGTGGATAGCACTCAGTACCTTGTCTCTAGTTACCAGAATTTTGATTATCTGCTGGTAGAGAAATAGATCTCAACAATATCAAAACAAAAGCCAAAACAAAACAAGACAAACAACACACACACACACACACACACACACACACAGGCCCATCTATGCCTCAAATAGAAAAATCACTGGGACCAGTAGATAGCGCAATGGTTACATCATTGGACTCCCACAAGGCCGTCTGTGTTTTGAGTCCTGGACCCAGCAGCTTGAAACTCACATGGCCAGGTGCATGTACACGTATGCCCAAAATCCCAAGAGGAGACTGGAGGAGAAGGAATTGTGGCATGGTCACCTCTCCCGGGAAGGGTTAATTTCTTACTCTCTCTTTCTGTCTCTGGCAAGTGCATATGTCCTATAACAAAAATTTTTCAAAAAAAAGACAAAAAGAAAGAAAAAAAGAAAAGAAAAAGAAAAAGAAAACCCTGCATGTTGGTAACTCCTAGATCCTGAGTTCTGTTGTCAAATCTCTTAGAAGGTTAGCATAGAAATGATAAAGTGAATCAAATTTGTAGCATGTTGAGAAGTTTCTCTACTACCACAAATTTTTGTTTATTCATTGCAATAAATGACTTTTTATATTTAAATAAGAAACCAGCATATTGGAAAATGTGTAGGATTTGCCCCGTCAAGCTAATTTGACTGTACAATTTTTGTAATTCTTGTTATCTGTCATCGAGATTTATAAAAACAAAGTTGTCTCAGTACTATTTAAATATACAAAAGAATCTGAATCCCCACATTGCAATTGTGTTACTGTATTTACCAAAAAAAGCTGAAAAGTTAGAAAGAAATATCTTGTTAGATATTTTTGTGAATCCAGTCAGTTTTTGAAGTTTAAACAAGGCTAAAAACTCAAATGGGTATATAACTAATTCAACAAGTAGAAACAAACTGCATAGTTTCCTGCATCATAGGCAATTCTTGTAATTTTCCCATTCTCTCTCAAATAGTGAATATTATCCTGTCTTTTTAGGGTAATAAAAAGTTCAATTCAGTCTAGTATCTAAAGTCAACTTTCATCCAGTTTAACACTCTCCTCTCCCCATCATGAGTTGGTTCTACTAAAGTCTGGAGCCAGTAAAGGGGCCAGTGAGTTTAGTGGGCTCTGCATGAGCTCCTTCCTTCTCCAGCATCTCTCTCAGTCCCAGTCCCCAGAAATGAGTGGAGGTGAAATGAAGGGATAGAGGTGAACATGTGGGAAGATGTTACCAGCCTGGACAATTGGAATTCTTGTGTCCCCACACCAAGTGCTTTCTTTGCCTTTGGATTGTTTCTATGAGTTTTTCAGAAATTCTTCTCCTCAGGAAACTTTTCTGTGGTGGTCTGCTGTCTCTTTTGGCAATCCTGCCTATAAGTCATTGTACCTCAGACAGCGCACTTCCCATATCCCATTTTCTACTGTCTACTCAACTCTAGCTTCTTTTCATTGAGGTTGACTTGGGGAGGTTTCAATTTTGGATGGTTCATGGCTGGCTGCTATTCAAGAACATTCACACTTCACCCACAAGAAACTTTCCTTTCAACATCATTGTTGGTGGAAGTTTTGCTGCTGTTGCTGCTGCTGCATTTTTTTTTTTTTAATTTGTCAGAGGGAACTTGCAAGAGAGAGAGAAAGAGAGAAGAGTGAGAGAGGGGGAGAGAGAGAAAAAACACTACTCAGTGGGGCATGGTAATGCAACAATCTCTCTTTCATTTCTCCATCCCAATAGGATTTGGGGAATGCAGATACTAGAGTTTGGAGTGGTATTTTATTTTGTTTTAAGAATTATTTAATTTTATTTTATTTATTGCTATGATTTCAATTTTGTTATAGGATACATGCACTCACCAAAGAGAAACAGAGAAAGAGAAAGAGAGAGAGAGAGAGCAAGCTGCCAGGTCTGGGACTCTAACCACAGTCAGCATATGTGAGTTCAGCACCTTAACCACCATCCCACCAACTGTCCCCAGTTTGGAGTGTTTTTGAAGCTGCCACAGCCAAGATTTAACTACACAGTCGACCGTGTGATATCTGCCTTCCTTAATCACTAGAATTGGCCTGGT